ATGCTGTGGCTGCATGTTGTGATGTGACTTTAGAAGAATGCTTCTGCATTGGAGAATAGCCCAATTTCAATGCCCTTTCAGAGTAGTTTCTGTCTAGAAGGACAATACTGGATTATGATAAAGTTATGCTGCTGTTAGCTGGAGCAACCTCTGGTACCTTTGAGCATACAATAATCATTACTGGAAACCTATGGGATTTGTCGTTCCCCACTGCAACACGGCTGGACAGAAACCTCTGGCCACTAGTCAGGTGAAGCTTCAGCGTACTGCAGTAAGTGTCACCTATAGCAGCGAAGCAACAGGCTGCTTTTCCCCCAGGCGAGCACCTAGGCTGCCCTATCCCACACAACAGCAGCATACAGTAGGCAGCTGAGCTCAGCCTGAAGGCATGTGTTTGACGTGCCTCCAGCTCTGACCACCTGGCACTGCACACGAGGAGAAGCTGCCACCTGATGCTATAATGCATGACAGCCAGGTGTTCAGTTTTGCTGTTTCATATGTCAGCCTTACCAATCCTGATGAATAGCATGAAAAAGGATGATAGAAAAGTAGGAGAACAGATTGCTGTGATTGCTCTTTGACTAAAATCAGAATAAACCTCTAATTCAAAGGTGCAGATGCTAAAGCATGAAGTCTTTGCTCTTCATGTTGTTGTGTATGATGCTCAAGAAAAACCATGATTTCAGATTGCTTTATGGCCTTGAATTTGCAGTGCTAGCTCCCTAATACTGTTGCTAGGTTGGGAAGGTAATTGATCCCCTCCCAGGTGAAAAAATAATGAAGGGGGGGGGGAAAGAGTTTTGACTGCATTTCTGTAGGAAGAGTTCCTGAATCAAATAATCTGAGCTGCAAGCTATTAGCTATGCAATGAGTAATTACATTTTGGGTTAATACCTATTCAGATTATGATGCAACAGATTTTAAGATAGATTTGCTTTAAAATGTCTTTAATCTTGTAAAGAAGAGACCTTTTCTGTTTAAGCATTCTTAAAGCTGAGGAAGTCAGAGTTTAGCAAATGCCTCCAGTATCATCCTGTATTAGAGAAGATAAAAATCTTTCTTGCTGATTTGGTTTACACCCCATCAAATTATTTAATTCCTTTAAATTTCATCTTCTATAGTTATGCTCAGCTCCTTGAAGTACCTAGAAGCAGACCATCCTTTGCACAAAACTGCTTGACAATGAATGTTACACCTTAAATGATTTCAGTATGTTGTTCTGTTTGTGTTACACTTGTTTCCCAAATGGCCTTTCTTAATTTTTGTGAAAGCTGCCTACCAGGTAATGCCTCTGTAATGCTTTCCCAGATACTCGTCCCATACAATCATAAACTTCAAGGGCTCTTGTTAAACTTACTGGTGAAATATGGAACATAAGGTGCATTGAAGAGGGATTGGCTTTACTTTTATGGACTCAAGGAAAAATGAGAAATATAATGGTAAAGCAACAGTTTTGGAATTAAACTTGGTTATTGACTTACAAGTAAAAGACATTTTATTGGTGAAAATGTGTGAAAGGTGAGAAAAGGTAATAGCTCTTAGGGCCTATGCATCCTTTTTGGATGCATAGTTAGATTTAAAGCGCAAATAGCCTCTTGATTAAAAACCGATACATCTCAGGTTGACTTGTGGACAGTAACATTTGTTAATTTGAGAATTGGCCCTTCAGTGTTTCCAGAGCTTGTTAACATCTCATTTTTATGGATGCAAATATGCTACACATGCATTTGAAGGAAGACTTACAGTCTTACTGCTTGCCAGGGAAGATTGCAGAAGCAAATGCAGTTGCGTTAGTAATTTACTGGGTAGTTCTTTGTTGTGTCTTTTGGTGTTAAATCATTGTACAGATATCTACTTTCTGTTGATAACGTTGTAGGGGTGAAGCCAAAGTGCAAGCTCACAGCTAACTTAGGCGAGTTAAAAAGATACCTAAGCTTCCTAATACCTTTTTTTCTGAATTACATAGGTACAGTGCTGTTTTGAAATAAAGTTGTCATGTAAAGGTTCTGGTTAGTGCCTTCTGGAACCCATTTCCTTATTTTTCTAAGCTATTATTCACTATATTTATGAGTGGAGGTGGGCTCATTTGGTTATCACATTTGTCCATCCAATACCTATAATACCCTGCTTTATCTTGCTGTAACTTTAACAAAACGTAACTGCCTGGACTGAGTTGTCCAAGCCGAGTCTCAGGCTGATTTCTTTTAAAGACTCTTAGCCAAAAGAGTTCGTTTGCATCCAAGAATGAGCCAATTCAATAATGTCCCTGATTAATAAAGAAACCACACAAAAAACTCTACAAAAAAAAACCAAATCCCGAAACACCAATGAACAACCACAGAAAACAAACCTAGATGGCACAGAATTGAGGAAAAGCTACCTAAAGCTGTGAATGGATTTGGCCTGTAGTTGTTCTTTTGAAATCTGCTCATATTTAACGAAACAGTACATCTGTGAAAAATTGCAGTTCATATATGCTTAGTACTGATAACTTGTGTCAGCTGGTAAATTCCCCCAGGGCTCCATTTGAGCATACTGGAAGGTTTCCCCCGAAACCACAGCGTTCAGCAGAAGCAGGATGAACTGGAGCTGAATAATAGGCAGGAGGGCAAAACTGCAGGGTTGCCATTACCAAAAGAGGCTGTGGGGCAAAGCATGGAGCATGCTTTGAGCTGGGGATGGACATGGGCTGGGGTGCGATGGGAGATGCTGTGTAAGGGGTGGGGAAGCATTACTTGAACCACAGTGTAACTGTAACTGGGTAAGAGCTAGGGGTGAAATTGCACTGGCAAAGGACTGGCTCATGCTCAAAGGGGAGGAGCTGGATAGTAGAGCCTAGGGGAAGATCTGAAACAGAATCCTGATGACATGAAGGACTGCCCCAATGCAGGTGTGCGCACATGTCTTGGGGTACTGGAAGGCTGGATTCTACCTGTGTCATTCCTGTGGGTTCTTAAAAGGCCAGGCAAGGAAATTAGGCTATTTATTTCTCAGAAATTAAACCTCATTCTCTATTTTGGTCTTTTCTGGGTGAAGTTTGAGTGACACACAAAACACTCACAGATGCTGCTGAAGCCTTTAGGACCTGAGCCTTGGAAATACAAGGATGTAGCAATAAGAGCTGAATGAATCATTGACATCTCAAATTCATTGCTAATAAACATATTAATTATAAATAATCAGCAGCTAAAGTCAACAGAATCAAAGGCCAGTGCATGTTCTTTGGGTAGCCACTTGTATGTGAGATCAGTATTGAAAACTTGGGAGCCAGCAGTGCTCTATGATAATTTCAAGTTTGGCAGAATATGAAAGGCACATGCTGCATAAAACTTCCATGGAATTAAATTTACCTGAATGTCAAGGTGGAATGCTGCTTGGAGTAGATGATTTGGGAAATTCATATTATTTCTTTTCTCATTTTTGTTTACTTTTGTTTTCAATAATCCAAGCAAAAAAAAATCATCACTTCTGCACCACATTTGTGCAGGTTATCACAGTTATTACAGGGTAGCCAATGATGTCACTTAAATGGGGGGATAACCGAATTTGCATTAGCTTTAGTTTAGCTATCATGGGGAAAAATAATCATGCAGGTGTTGTAACAGGATTTTGGTGCAGGCTGGGGACATACTTTGTTTATGATCATCTCCAAAATCCACAGTGCCGCATCTCTGTGGCTGTTGCTTTATGTACTGACCCCATTCAAGCTCATGAAGGTATACAATGGAAGTTAATTTTAAACCTCTGAACAGTATAAGAGGGTTTTGGTATGCCCTGTGCAAAGAGATACTATTCATAGCTTATATGAGCAGGATGGGATTATTTGGTGCCTGAATGTCACGAATTAAAAGTCAAAGGTCAAAATGTTGTTCTCCCTTAAAGCCAGTGGAAGCTTTGTCGTTAACTTCAACAAAGCTAGGATTGCTCCCTTGATTTTGTAACTTTTTTTGAGAGGCAGGAATTGTGGTGTTGTTTTACCTCTTGCGGCTTCACCAAGACTCTGTATTCTAAAAGCTTTGAAACTATCTTTTATTTATTCTGATTGTGTTTTGTGGGAAACTAAATTGAAAATGTGTTTAAGGGCCCCAGAGACCTGCTCTGATGAACTGCATCAGGAGAATCTGAACATCTGCTCGAACACAGCTTTAGCAGAACTCCTAATTGTTCAAAAGAAACTGTAGAAAATCTGTTAGCTTTTAAGTTTCAAACCTCATCACTTGTATTTTAAATTTTAATGTCCTTACATACAAATAAAATAAAAAAAGTAGAAAACAAACTCAATACAAAATATTTACCACCTAAGCAGAAAATATAGAAAAGAAAGAAAAGGAAAGAAAATTGAGCATTTTTTGCAGTTTTAGGGTGATTTTACACAAAGAATTCAAAACTGAATTCTAGAATATAACAGAAATGTGTATCACACTAACATGAAGTTGTTTTAACAGTGATTGTGCTGTCTTAACAAACACCTGTTTTATCAGTTATATTTCACACGTGAAATAAACTGGACTTTATAGTAAATAGATTTTGTTTTAATTTCAAGTAATAATTTTTTTACCATAAGAAAATGTACAGAATTAGTGTGGAAATCTGTGTAGTATGTTTGCTCAAATAAAGATAATGCTTTGCTGCAAACTTTTAAATATAATAAAATGCATTTAATAGCAATCTTTTGTGGTATCATCATTGTTTATGGACATAACATTCAAAGTATGGAAATTCAGTTGTGGATCAAAATGACCATAAAAACAGTAACCCAAAGAACCTTATAAACATGTCAACACCCATCATTTATCACAGATGGCTCATACCAATGTAAAAAACATATAAAATGTAGTATAATTCTCAACATATGGTTTACTTTGTTGCATTGTTCCTACATATTATTTGTGTTAAAAGCCAGGAAATTATATTATGAAGAGAATATTGGCTTTTGTTTATTAAACTAAAGTACAGATTAAAGTTATTCTTTTCCTGTGATGAACATATACCAACAGTGATTAAAAAATAAACATTTATTTACAAAATATTGATGCATACATATTACATAAGTCAGTTATATCAAAGTGTTTTTTTTTAAACAATATCTGTAGCAACCAACTATTTGCATTGGTTTATCTTAGTGCAAATGGTAATGTTGCAAAGGCAGGTTATAATGTGGGATTGCGATTTGAATGTTAGACTTCTCTGCTGCCTTTTGTTTTACTATGTCTAGAAAACTATTCCTTTTCATTTAAAAAATATCTATTTCTTGCGAATGTTGAATAGTGTACCTGAGGATAGGGCAAATTCATTATTAATCTAAATTCTTTCACTTAGATAACTATCTATTTACTCAACCTGCTTACGTAGCACCATTGCCATCGATTACTAACATACTAGTGAGAAGAAGGAATGGAAACACGCTAAATACACTATGCCATCCCTAATTTCAGGATTTGTCCATGTATGTGGAATTTTGTCTGATACATTTCACAATTCTGCACTATATATTCAAGTGTTTAAGGATGATTCTGGTGGTATTGTGTAGTGGTGTATATGTAACCAGTATATATTTTCCTGTAAATACAATATTAAGTGAAGCTGTGAAGAAATGGACTTAAAAGCCCTCTCCTTCTGCCCTCAGGTGAGAAGGAGCTTGCTTTTGATTACCAAAGTGTACTGAAACCTGCATATAAATTTGCGTCTGAATGACTGAATATTGATTCCCTCACAATGTAAGAACTTTGTGTGTTAAATCCGGTGATTTCGATTGTAGATTTTCTGTTTCGCTGGTTCAAAGCCAGCCAGGTCAGGTATCTGTATCGTCCTTTAGTTCACATTCTGTAGCTGGTGCTGCACTAAATCTGTACGATTGCCTGTCATACAGTATGTAGGATGTCGGCAATGCCTTGCATACGTAACTTCACAGTTTCAAAGACTGGTTGGTGAGGGGGGTATAACTTTTTCTTTTGGTAGCTTCCACAATATACAAAGTGGTGGATCTAACGACAACCTCATGAGCACCCACAGCGATCTACAACCATGGCCGGGATCTTGCCGTATATTATTTGTTCCTTCCCATTGAAGTACAGCATGTTGATAGGGGACATCTTGGTGGGTGTGCAGCAAGGGCCTGCCGAACCCCTGGGGTTGGCTTGGTGAACGAGGTGAGTGTGCGGGTACTTCTGTAAAAACACAAACTCGCATTCTCCGGAGCAGTAATTTGCTTTGTATCTTTTAGGGGCAATAATCCAGTCCCAGCCGAAAGCTTCAAAATCCACCGTCAGTGGGTAGCGACAACATCGGGATTCTGTCGAGTGCTCGTCACAGTCAAGGCCAAAATCTCTGCGGGACCGTTTCGGTGTGTCTGTAACTCTGACCTCTAGAAACGGGTTCTGTGAGGAGAGGAGAATGAATCAGAAGCATTAATCAGGTATGCCTAAGTTCACTAAAAACATGCAAGTAAGCATTTCAGACATAGATGTATCAAATTAACACTTTCAAATCATTTTTTTCTAAACAAAACTGAGTCCTCCTGCAAATCTCTCCTACAGCTGATCTCCGCTCAAGGATTACTCCTATTTTTCATGCTGAGGACCAGCTTTCCCTTCTGTTCCTCTATAAAGAGCTTTAATTCCTGGGTATCTGTTCCTGAAATCATCATTACCTCAGTGCTAGCACCATTTTTGTTACCTGCTACAGGAATGTTTCAGAAATTTTGGAAGATGCTGGATTTTTATTTTGATGTGGGGTTTGTTTTAAACTCCAAAATAAGAACAGAACTCCCAAAACTTTTAAAGGACAGAACTAACTGTTGCTGGTCTCCCTTTTCTGAATCCCTCTGAAAGTCCCTCCATTTAAAATAATACTGAGTTCAGGCTTTCTGGATATGGGGAAGGCTTCTTGTCCAGACCAAAAAGGAAGAAGTTGCTGTCATGTTTGAATTACTGCACTGGCAGTAGAAATAAGTGTTCCTCCTGCTAGTTCAGGTTACTTGTACTTCACAACTTTCCCCTCTGCCAAAGGGCTGGATTTGCTGTCCTGAATTTGGAGGGGCAGCTAATATTTTGACTCTAGAAAGAGCCCTGTGGCCAGGAATGTACTTTGGCAGATCTCCGAGCCACGTGTCTCCTGCTGAAGGTGTGTTTCCACAGTCACCAACTGAGAATAGAAAGAAATCACAGCCTTCACAATCACGAGTTTGAAAAAGCTCCCGGAGTTTCCTCCCTTCCACACACTGATTTCAGTCCTGTGGGTCACTGTGGCACTGACTGAACTGCCCCACGAAGGAAGACCATTCCCTATGAGTAAATAGCAGTCCAGCTAACTTTGTTACGTGGGTTTGTGCCTTCCAAGATACCCACCTCTACAGCTACAAGTTGTCCAGCTGCTGGATACACTCCTCCCGAAGGTAAATGATATGGGGAGGGGCTTGGTGAGAGGAGTGTCCCTGTACCGGGAGCCGCTGGAGAGGAGCCAGAGGGAAGAGAAGAAACTTCCTTTCCCATTATCAGCCATGCATCTAACCCGGCCCTGCTGCTGAATCAGTTTGTTTTTATCAATGATGATAACCATGTGTTATCCACATGGGTTATCATTTGAATGGATGGAGGTAGTGAGGACGTTCCTTATCATGACATCCAGCTTGCCTGTTTCAAGTATGGGAGATCCACACCTATGCTGGATCTACATTTAAGATATCACAGTGTTTTTCCTTCAACTCCTTTTTAACTGCATTATACTGTTATGAAGTTAAACGTTACACAGCTACATAAATCAGTGATCTTAAAGGTCTTTTCCAAACAAAATGATTCTACGATAAACTGATTGACCTACTGCATAGAAGTAAAAGTAAAATATCCTTTTTTATTCAAAAGGAGGGATTTCTTGGTTGTGATAAGCTCAGGAGTTTTTACAGGTTGTTATTTGCAGAAACAGGTAACAAGGAAAATGCTCTATTTTAACTGGTATGTTTCAGGTTTAATTTGTTAATTTGTACTTACAAAAAGAAACCAGATAGTTATTTTATGCTCTTTCTTATAATAATAACAACTCACTTATTGTATCAAACAGAATTTCTCTATTCAAACATTTCTAGTAGGTGGAACGATGCACTTTATCACATACTGAAAGGTACAGAATTCAACATTATGAATATCTGTTCTCACCTTCATAAACGTAGATAATTATTGCTATTGCTAATAGAAAATATATGCATACACTGTAGGGAGAAACCCCTTCACTTTCGCAGCAATATCTGAGGCATCTTTCCTATCAATGAAAGAATCTAACCACTATTCTTTTAGCTTTATGCAAAATAACTGCTTATTAAGCAGTTTTTGCTCTCAAATTTGAAAATAATGTTACTTTGATCATACCATCCATCAGTACCAAAACATTTTCTAGTTAATGCCTCTCAACATTGCTCTGAAATACTGCAATTTGACTCAAATTTTCAAATAGGGAAACAGAGGCACAGGAATGCTATTGATTTTGACATAATGAGAGAGCAAAGAACAGAAGATTTGGATATGTAGAACTTCTGTTCCCTGAACAATGCTTCCATTTTATACTTCAAACACAATTTAAATGCTTTTCAATAAAATGCAAGATATTTAAATTGGATTTTTCTCAAGAAACTTACCAATCCATCTTCACCTGGTCTTGGGAAGGTTACAGCAAGGTCTTGTCCATTCTCATCAAAAGCCTTTATTTCGATGCCTAAGTTGGATTCTGGCTGTTTGAGCCAGTTTTGCAACACTGTCTTCACATCAATACTCTGCCAAATACCAGTGCCGGGGTTCATGTCAAGTTTCAAAGATCGAATTCCAGTATATCTTGTACCATCTTTCATGGGTTTAATAAGTCTCAGGATCTGCACAAACACTGTTGTAGGTTTTTGGACTTGCCTCAAGTATATCCACAATTGTGCCTTTACTACTTTGTTATATTGTATTTTAGAGCTAAATTTAAAGAAGCAACATTTTGGTTTTCCCTCCATTTGGACGAGAAAATCAGCTATAAATGAATGGAAAGAACAGATTACTGAACAGGGAACAAAAAGAAATATTCATATATAAACCCCATTTTTATTTTTTTCTTCCATGTAGGACGACTTACAATATGTTACAAACAGTACCAGTGACAAAGTGGATTTAACTTAATTCATTTTCTCTGGTTTATGCTTTGCAGCAAATTAAATGGATGTCAATGAAATCATTGTGCTATCACCTAAAAGTAATACTACGTGACAAGGAACCTATGATTGTTTTGTAAACAGGCTAAAATGAGGTTTGGCTAACCATTTTCTAACTCTAGTTGGTGCCTTGTGCTCCATAGGCTAAGCAGAGTGGAGGTATGCTCAGGCTGAAACTTGGAAATGATAGACAATCACAAGAAGGTAAACACTGTAGAGGACCTTTGTGGTCCTCTGCCTGATCAGGGCTCTGACCAGTGCTATCAGTGCTGTGGGCTGACCTGCACAACAAAAAAGCCTCTTTCCCAAACAAAAACTACTTGGGGAGAGGACACCGCCTATTTGACTTCACAGTGACTGCTACAAACTCACTTCTGCTAGTCACCATCTGAGGACCTTCATAAAGCATGCAGAATAGCAACTTTGCATAAGCTGATTCAATATGTGTTAATAGCTATCATATAGCTATTCCTAATTTACCAAATAACCTTAGTGTGCTACCCGTATTCAGAGGCAGCTGTGGGCAAACTACACAATTGCTTTAATTTCTTTTCTGAATGGGGAAAAAAATAAGAGTGTTAATCTAAGGATCATTTTGTTTTCATTTGATTAATATTATAGGAAAGTCACATGCAGTGCTGCGTTCCTCCTTCCTGTAGCCTATGAAGCAGCTGTCATACTTGGTCATGGCAATGTCTTTCCATGCCAGGATAAAATGGGTAATACTAATCTTAAATGGTGCAGGGCTTTAACATTCATAAATCTCACCACTTAAGATACCTGTCTCTTTAGTGCATTTAAAATAGTTCAAGGGCTTTTTATAAAGAGTAGGAAATGAGCTTGGATCAATGAAGCGCAATGACTTTTCTTCAGTCACTGTAATTATGTGACAATTTAGTTAAAAAATGTTATAAAGCCTTGGACATAATAGGCTCAAATAAAATTGCTGGCAGACCTCAACTTTGTGATAAGGCTGCAGGAATATACTGCCATTAAGTACATGCTAATTAATGAGTTGAAAAAGTTTACAGATAAAGTTACTTCTTCATAGATAAGTACAGCTGGCTAGAGCAGCTGATATTATTCTAGTATGCATATTGTAATGATATCTGTAACTGCTAACATGCCATATATGTCCTGTCATCTTTTTAATTTTCGACATCATATTCATGTTATTTAAAAAAACAGCTGCCATAGCCAAATACTTTAGTTGATGAAGAACATAAGATACTACAGTATTAGCCATGCAAAAGATACTTGATAGGAGCCATAGCAGATGTTTAGCACTCAGAAGATAACTCAGAATCTGCTCATTCAGTAAATGCCTTCATTCTTCCTTGGCATGACTACTGGAGCTGATTGCTGTAGCATGGACATTTTAACAGTTAAATCTGTTACACACATATTTGCTTTAAATATATAGTTTTAACTCGGAGGTGGGTGGTGCTAGTTTATGGTATCAGCAAAGAAGCAAGAATTTAACTCTATACTTGCACTTGCTATAACATGTTGCAGTTAGGTAGGTCTGGTGCTCTAAGCTGTATTTCTGCTGATTTCTATTGCTTCTAAAAATGCTGGCCAGTGAAACCTCCCTCAGAAATACATAGTTATCTCATTAGCTGCACTTGTTCTTTATATTTGTGATGGGAAATGCCCTGAGTACTGCAGATACCAAAAATCAACTAAACTGCAGATCTCCCTTTGCTCTCTAAGGCAATGGGCAAATCCTAAGTGCCACAGGGCATACACGTTACAAGGAGCTGAAAACGGAACAGTAAAACAAAGGATCACAACACAGTCATCTGAACCTGGCTCAAATTCTTTAGTAATAATGCTCTCCTCCCTCCCTCTAGCAGACTTCAGCCAGCAGCCTGTTGGGAGAGCCTGAGGAGGAGTTGCGTGGCTCTACAGCAGAGAGAGAACTCTCTCGGAGGAGTGGTGGGAGGCGAAAGCAGCAGGGTTACTTACACTCTGTAGGCATTGTGATAATCGTTTCGGTGGTGGCATGATAGTCATCGTCTTCCAAAGAGCCATCACTACTGTCATCTCTCTGGACGTCATACTGATCAATCAGTTCCTGGAGTGGAGGAGCTTTGGGTAAAAGTTGTTTAATAACATCCCTGCTAATGTTAGGAGCTTGTTCCAGGCGCAGTTTGCTGAGGATTTGAATTTTTATGGCTTCTATTCTGGAGGATTTTGTATTCTGTCTCCACGTACAAGCATTGCACAGTCCGTCTTTTTCAGTGTTCTCTGTGGGCTGACTACTGTCATCAAGAGCCACCGGATCAACTGAAATCAGCATGAACAGGTAAATATAAACATAGATTGCTAGCTTTTGCATGATCTCACATTCAGTGCAGCGCTTTTCCCTTTTTTTTTCCTTTCCCCTCCCCCTTTCCCTTTCAGTACTAAACAGATCCGTGAAAGCAAATGCAATCTGAGAGACAGCTTGCCACACTGGTGTACCTTATATATTCCAAGGGGGCTTTTTATACTGCAACTTTGATTAGGCTCATGTCGTCAAACCCGACGATTGGTTGCTGTCCCAACAATGAATCTGGCTGTCAGAGGGTAAAGCCCTGTCAATCACAAGTCACTAAACAGCATTTAGTTACAGCCAAGGGTGAACTGATTTATCTGGGTGCTTCATAGAGGATATGTCTTTGCATACTGAAAGGATATATTTCCAAGTATTGTAGGCAGCAGTACTGAAAGACAGCACTGTCATTCTTAAATATATACCAACCGTGTACTCGTACTGTAAATCAAGACAGACCTCTCTCTAAACTTGCTTCAGGCTTATACCAGTCTTTTTGACTTGAAAGCTTGTACTATTTAGATGAAAAACCCTGAGGGATTGCTGTTAGCAGGCAGGGAAAAAAATACTTTAGAAATGCACTGCAAACCGTACTAATTTATGTTGTTCAACAACTAAAATATATTCATAAATATATATACATTTAAATCTGTACTATATCTTCTTTTTCCATGTAATCTTCTATTTCTGTTTAAAACGTATTATTTCTGTTTAAAATGTATTGTGCCAACCTAAGTGACACCTTTCTGTGTTCTTTTGCTTTCTACTCAAACACTTGTACGTCCTCTGTATTCTGCTTATATTTTTTAAATCACAGTTTTAATATGTTTTCTGCATTAGAGGTACATCCAGATGTGATTTTATACTTACAGGTTATGGCTTATAAAATTTTACAGTAATGTAGTTCATATTTGATGTGCTGTTAGCAAGAATTGTGGAACTCACAATTGGGGGGGCTGGGGCTTACTGGTCAGCACAGGCTGTATATTACAGCAAAGAGAAACCCTGGAATTTGTATATATTGTATATATTTGTATGTTTGGGATCTGTATGTTACAGCAAAGGGAAATCCTAGAATTTCATACAATATGCTAAAGTTGGCTTATCTGACTTAGGACTCAGTTTCTCACTGAGTTTCTCTTCCCATTCTAAGTGCAACCAAAATATATGGCAAACAGCGTTTTTTTGCACATGTGCATCTAAGAAAAACATTGGTATATGGAAAGATACTTTGAAAGAGTTTCTTTCTGCCTGGTCATTCATATTGTTTTGTATCACCTCTCCAGGGCATGCAAATTCATTGCATAGCACAGAACTGAGCCTAATATTAAGCTCATGACCAGTGACGTAAATCATGAGTACTCAATTAAAATTGATTGTCCTACCCTGGTGTAAAGTGATGGATGTATCACACTCACATATTCCAGGCCTATGGCTTTAGTGTCAGACCCTCGTATTCTGATTTCAGCCAAAATATGCATTTAAAGAAAGCAGTTTTACTCCTGAGCGTTTGCTTTTTATACAAGAGTATGCTGCAGCTACTTTTCACATGTGGCAACATAAATTGGCTCATGGTTCAGTGGAACTAGAAGTCAGGATAGATTTGATTTGCAGTGGAGACTGCCTGTCGTGCCTATAACATATTTTAAACAGACTTCTAGTGCATTTCAAGTGCTGGAAATGTATTTTTATGGAAGACGCATAGGATGATTCACAGTATGAATCTTTTTTAAAAGTACTGATCTTACTTGTGATTTTGAGGGGCTTTAGGTAGGGGATTTTTTGTTGTTTGTATACTATTATGACAGTGAATGTCATAATAAAACTATTTTTTATCATTTTTTATTTTAAACCAGAGTGAGTTAACAAGTTGAGCATGAAAGGGAATCTACCCCCAGGTAGAAACAGGTACCAGGTTTCACACCAGCAACAGTTTTAAAGAGAACAGGTGGAAACGATGATTAATATCAGTGTAACTAAATGCTCTGGCAGACCATGGCTTTAAGGCATTCATGTTGGAGAGGGGACAAGAGAAATTCTCTGCAAAGCAATGCATCCAGCACCATGACTCCTCATTGAATGTGTTCTGCAGCAGCTTAGCCGGTGCTCAGCAGCCATGCTGGTACCTGGCCTGCTCCTTCTCCTTCAAGGTCTTCACCCTCTGACTATGGCTCACCATGGGCATGCAGAACTTCTTGGTTTGTTTTCCTATCTCCTGCAATAGTTCCATTAATCTGCAAAAAAGCCCCCCCCCCCCCCCCCCCAATTTGTTTATGACCACAAGACCAAAGTCATCTTCTGTAAGGCAAAAACCTCTGTGAGCTCTGAGCAAGAGCAGAGCTTGGTCTTGGCCACCAAGGTGACACATGGCAGTAAACAAAGCCTACTGAGCACCATGTCTCTGCTCGCTAATTAGAAGTAGGAGGCAGCAATAGCAGCTGGAGTGGTGACATAGGGACTATTGATTGACCAGGATGGCAAAAGTGCCCCAGAATTCACCAGCAGCTGCATAACAAAGAACAGTATTTTATTCCATTTCCCTCATAAAGAGTACTTCATATCCACATGCCATGAATAACTCTAGGCTGTTAGTGGAATACCTTTCTCTTCATCTTCTGTTGTTGCCAGCTTTTTCTTTTCTATGAAACTGCAAGAATTTGGAAGGGAGCTTGAAGAGTTGCACTTGATCAGGAGCTATTGAAGGATCTAATTTCATTGTTAATAATAATACAATATGCAATTTGGTTCTCCATCTGACTTTCATTGTAGTGGGATTGGGAAGCGATGACTACAGAAGTAGGTGACAGAGGTGGGAAAAGTGATAAAATGGCAAAGTTGAAGTTGCTCCAAAAATTTATTTGGGAAAAAAAAACCTAAAAAACCACAAACCCCAGAAAAACCCAGCACATTACCACCAGCAAAACTAAAGAAGAGTTAAAAATGAAATGCAAATCTTACTGAACTTTATGGCATTTTAATATTATCTTTGGGATTTGTGTCATTCTACCCGCCATGCCTGCCAATAGTGAATAGTATTCCCAATCCTAACTATTCAAAGATCATGGCTCAGGCCCCCAAAACCAAGCAATGTAAGAATGTTCCTTTCTAAAGGAAAAAGACACATATCTGTCTACCTGTAGACTTCTCCGCTCCTTCACCCCTTCCACCAGGAGCTTTTGTAGTCACTGGAAAACCTAAAAAGAAAAAAAGGGGAAAAACCACAAACCCATCCCCAAGAAATCTGAGTAATAGAGAAGTTTCAAAGGCACTGTGTTACTGTGAGTTTTATGGAAAAACAGTGACTGTGGAGGAAAAGGAGATTACCAATGCCCTCCCTGAGGAGAAGGCAAACAGAGCCCAACCATTACCCATCCTTTTTGGCAGCCTCTAATTAGCCAATCAGCTTGTGCTTCTTCATCATTACTCAGCATGCTGATAGCTCTGGACCATCTACAGTGTGTCACCCCTTGCTGGGCCAGCAACCCAGAAAACATAGGGAGCAGGATGGGATTTGAACTTGTTCTGGGGGTGGACCAAGTAGACATGGAAAGGAACCAGGACATTTCTGAGAAAAGAGAGAGTTACAGGGGTAGGAAGGAGCTGCTCTCGTGGCAAGGAAGCAGAGGGACATGGGTTATAATCCTGCCAGAAATCAGACAGCTTCATCCTGTTGTAGGCTAGATTTCCAAAAACTTCCTTATAGCCTGCAGGACCAGAAATTCACTATTACTTTTTCTGCTGTTGAACTTAAATGAAATAGTCCCCATAACTGACTGACTTCAGAAGGTCGAAGGAACAAAGAAATCAGGTGTTGTGAAATGCACTGTAAATCTGTGATTGCTGTTTACATTGATGTCAAGTCCTACATCTTGAATTGGCTTCTCTCCCTGGTTTGTCTTTTAAGGAAGATGTAACATTCCTTCTGAACAGCTGAGGAAGGTACTCTTTGAGTCACCTTTTCTCTCACTTTCATCAGCATAAAGCCTAATTTCTAGAATAGCATATTGAAATGGATAGAAAATCCCATTTAAAGCATTTTTGGACCAGATTCATCTCTCGCTTACCTGCAGTAAGCTGGGGATAATGTTTGTGAAGTATTTTTGGTTGGAACAGTTGAATTTTCATAGAAAAACTCAGACACATAATTAAATGCAGTGGAGGTAGGGTGTTTTAAGTGCTTAACTATGAGCCCAGCTGTCTTAACTCACCAGGTGCTTGCTCTTAGCCACCTGAATCACAACATAAATGCATTACTTTGACCTCAAAGCAGATATAAAGTCATGTCTATAAACCACACAGAAACAAATCTTGCAATAACAAAAAGCTGATGAAAACATCATCCCAATCACATTGTGTAAACTAAAGCTGCAGCTACTATCAACGTACTTATATTACTTGTAGTAATAAGTGAATTGAAATATGAAAGCTGTAACTGATATGAATTCTTACTCTGTAACAAATGCCCGGAAACAGTTTGCCTCCTGCTGTTTTTTTTTTCTCCTACAAAAGTAGTCATATATAACCTTCAAAACATTCTGCTGTATCAGCTACTGAAAGTCAGCTTTATTTCTTTATTTTGATAGTATGGGCATTTAGCTCCTTCAACTTACCAAAAAAGAAGTAAGTTCATCTTCTTTTTCACTAATTTTGAGTTCCAGGTATAAGAAAGTGTATTTCACATAGAAGAACATGAATGGCACACGGTATGAATGCCCTGGTATGCTGGCATCTCGGTGAGGTATGGCACAACTCCTTCTCATCCCCTCCAGTTGGGTTCAGGGATCTGGGACTTTGAGTGGTCTCCCCCAGTGTGTACCTGGGTATGTGACTGCAGTTTGAGTACCAGGACAAATCATCACTGTCTGGCCAATGACTTCCTTGACTTGGGAGCTAGGGGAGATAGTAGTGTATCTTACCTGCTAAGGACTTTCTCACAAGCCATGATATGTAAGCATGCAAAGGATAAAATGGGGAAACAGGAAAAACTGGCATCCATAGCAAAAAAACAAACCCCATAGCAAATGGGTGCTGTGCCCCATGATGCACCTCTTAGCTTACCCAAGAGATGCTGCTGAATGTAGGCTTCTGGCTTATTCTTGCCTTTCTGGCCATCTCCCTCATGCCTGCAGCTTTTGTGCTGCTGTACCATAAGTGTAT